TTATAGCTTACTATAACTTCAAATTCCTGGGCACAAGACATCCTCTTATCATGGCTTACTAAAGCTGTGGGATTACAGGTATCAGCCACCAGGTCCATTCCATGTCCAGATTTTTGAGACTCTTCTAACTCTACTTGGATACTTTGTCCTCTACCAGGCTGCTGTGTCTCTCTCCACCCCCTGGGGATCCTTAATGTTGCATGACCCTGCTTATTGTGGATTTCTTGGGGGAAAGGCGTAAGTAAGAACAGCTACATGTTTCTTTAATTTTAAAGAAAGAGGCTTATTCATAGTGATAGCTTAGCTTGTCCTTCCTCATGAAGGAATGCTATTCTAATTTTTCCTCCCTTAATATTTACACTTTGAGGCTCAGCACCTGTAGCTCAGTGGCTAGGGTGCTGGGCACATAGACTGGAGCTGGCGGGTTTGAACCCAGGCCTGCCAAACAGCAATGATAACTACAACCAAAAAATAGCTGGGCGTTGTGGTGGGCACCTGTAGTCCCAGCTACTTGAGGAGCTGAGGCAAGAGAGTCACTAAAGCCCAAGAGTTTGAGGTTGCTGTGAGCTGTGATGCCATGGCACTCTACCCAGGGTGACATAGTGAGACTCCGTCTCAAAAAAAAAAAATGTATACTTTGAAAAATACAATTTTATTAACATTTTTAATTATTCATGTGAGATATTAACCCTGGTACTTTGTACCCTGATTTTTATTTTTAAAAGATTATTAGTTATTGAGACATTTGAAAAAACGATCATTGGTACAGTCTGCTAATTAATCCACCCCAGTTGTTTTGTATCCTGTACTTGTAAACATTCAAGGTAGGGCATTTATTCTCCAAATTTTGAATGTACACTTAGAAATAAAAAGTAAGTCAAGTATTCCCTTTTTCTCAGGACCTACATTCTAGCTGGGAAGAAAGGCATTTAACAGTTAATTATCGTGGATTGTGGTTGGGTGCTTTAATGTAAGTCTAACAGAATAGTGGGAGAGTTCAGGAAAGTGACAGGTTAATTTTTGGGGGTGGTGTTGATTCCTGGGAAATTTCTCAGAAAAGGAAACTTTCCAGCTGAGTATTTAAGGTACGGTAATGGCATAGATAGAGGCATATAATTGAGGTGGTATTACACAGTTGAGGGTGGGCATGTAGGTCTAGAGTAGATAGGATCAAATGTGGGAACAGAAGTGATGGTAAGAGATAGGAGATGGGGAAGATAGTGGTAGTTTGAAAACGGTCTTGGGAGTCATGCTTAAATAATTTGTTTTTCATTCAGTAGGCAGAGAAGATTGGTTAAAAACTTTTGACCTGGAGAGATGACTTAGGTTTTAAAAATAACACTTAGGCAGGAATTCAGAGGATGAATTAGATTGCAGGAGGGAGGAAACTTTTCCTAAATCCAGACAGACTGAGTTCATACTAAAGCAATCCAGTTGAGATACAGGGAAAGCAGCCAATTCAAGGGCTGTTTGGGAGGTGCCAGCTAGTGTCCCACTCCCACCCTCAGAGATACTGTGCTGGTTCTTTGTCCAGGGGTTTGGTCTTGTCTCCCCAGGTCTTTCCGTGGCTGATATCTCTTCAGTATTTCAGCATCAGGCTCAGTGTGGTGGCTCACACCTGTATTACTAGCTCTCTGGGAGATCAAGGCAGGTGGATTGCTTGAGGTCAGGAGTTTTAATACCAGCCTGAGCGGGAACAAGACGTTGTCTCTACTAAAAATAGAAGAACTAACCAGGTGTTGTGACAGGCACTTACAGTCCCAGCTACTTAGGAGGCTGAGGCAGGAGGATCACTTGAGCCCAAAAGTTTGAGGTTGCTGTGAGCTATGACACCACAACACTCTACGTAGGATGACAGTGTGAGACTCAGTCTTAGAAAAATATTTTTTTCCAGCATCAATTCACCTGGGTCCTTCTCACTCTACCTAATATCACTGTATTAGTTTTCTCTTGCTGTATGAAAAATTGCCTGAAAATATAGTGACCTAAAATAGTTTCTGTGGGTCAGGAATTCCGTTAAGGTGCAGCAGGGGCAGCTGGTCTCTTTCCAGTGCCTCAGCTAGAGGATGCAAATGGAGGGGCTGGAGTTACTGCTCATGTGCTTGGCAGCTGGTGCTGGCAGGAATGCCTGTATGTGACCCATGTGGCCTGGGCTTCCTCACAACTAGGGCAGAGGGTTCTGAGTACCCTAGAAGTGAGCCAGATAGAAGCCATATTGCATTTTATGATGTACCCTCAGAAGTCATACAGCATCACTTACAGTATAGCAGGTGTAGCCAGGGAAGACAGGATTTCCTTACAGTACATTGTATTAGTTTAAAAGATTCACCCAGGGCTCAGCACCTGTGGCTCAAGCGGCTAAGGCGCCAGCTACATACACCTGAGCTGGCGGGTTCAAAGCTAGCCTGGGCCCGCCAAACAACAGTGATGGCTGCAACCAAAAAATACCCCAACACTGTGGCAGGCACTTGTCCTAGCTTACTTGGTAGGCGGAGACAAGAGAATCACTTAAGTCCAGGAGTTGGAGGTTGCTGTGAGCTGTGATGCCATAGCACTCTACCCAGGGCAACAGCTTGAGGCTCTGTCTATAAAAAAAA